GATTCTTTTCTTTTCAAAATAAGGATTTCACAAAAAATATTTTACAATAAATTAATAATATTTTTAAAGAACGGACATGTATTATCATTTGATCTTGAAAGCACGGTCTCAAAAAGAATATAGGTCACATATCGACCTTTTTAATAATTAGGTTCGGTATAATCCGAAACTGATAATTGAAATCCTTTTTTCAATTTAATATCATAGGCTGTATACGCTAATTTTTCTGTGTCACGTAGAATATAGCAGAAATCGTAATTATTTTTTCACGAAATGCTTTTATATTTTATGTTGTATGGAATTAAAGTTCATTAATTACGATACAAATACTGCGAGACATCTCATGCTAAATCTACATTACACTTAAGAGAAATCCTGAGAATGTTTTCTTCGCGGTGGATCACTTTCTAATCAAGTTCTATGAGTTTCTCCTTCCGTGTTCTCTTGTACCCCATTTTATCTTTATTTACGAAATGTTCACTTAATAAAGACATAATGCGTTGAAATTCTTTCGTAGTTACACTCGAGTTCTCCAATTTGAAAAACTGTTGTTTCCGTACATTTACATTGGAAATGTTTTAAGGATAACATTTTTGTGATATTAGATTTCTTTTTTTCTATTATAATGCTGCTTTTTTAAAACTATTTTTTATAATTTTCAAAGTTTAACATTGAACTGTAAATATCTTTTTGCCCAATTCATTGTTAGTAAAAAAAATTCACAATTTTTTAAGTTAATTTACATCCTTAAATCTTCAAAAAGTATTACTCTTTATCAATAATATATGCTGAAACATTTCCGATTGGTCAAAGAAGACTTGAAATGAAAAAAAGTCGATAAATATCCTTTAAAAAGATATGTACATAGAATGATGCTAGATAACCGGGAGAGAAAGTTACACATAAGAGAATCTTTTGCTGTGCAAGAAGACAATTTTCGATATAAACGCGACGCTCGTAGTTCCGAGGCCAAGAATATACTCTAGGATAAAGATTCTCGCTGACGATCACCGGCGTCCACTTCAGAAGCACTACGACAGATCCCAAGCGTTGAATCGATATACAATGAACGGCAGCGTACACCGACGCGACGCGCGAGTCTCGACCAGCGGGAGCGCCTGTAGCCTCCAATAAAACCGGGTTGGAGCCGTTCGATCGCCGCACTCGACGAATCTCGAATCGAACAATAGCCTCGTGCGCGCGTGTACCGTCCCGCCGTCCGTCCGCCCGTCCATCCTTTCGTCCGGAATAACGTCCGCAAGGTCTCCCAGGCATACATACACGTCCGCATGTTGCCGGCGGACAACGGTAATACCACGAGTACCACCCGGTTGTACTCGTACGAACGGGCACGGGGCGAGAGATACACATCCCACCCTTCCTATCTCTCTTTATCTTCTTTTCTGGGGATTATTTCCGGGTCAGCAAGCCAGTCTCGATCGCGTTCGTTCCGCGCTCTTACAGATTACAGGGTACTTGTTGGTGCGTGACGAGAGATGCATCTCGAAATGCGCGCTCGGTTCCGTTCACGTAAGCTGTGGATCTCCGGAGCATTCGATCGATAGCTGTCATCTCGAATCTACGGATGACGAGTCAGATACATATTGCGAATCGTGATATTGATAATATTTCACGAAAGATCGGCCGCTTGGTACATCATCGATTCACGTTTTACGGATATTTTTTCTTCTGTGGAGTATATAAGAATATTTAGATTAGATAACAGATTAGGCACATAGAAAACACATAGGGGAGTAGAACTTGTAACTAAGTATTTGTCTTTTTATATTTTTACATTTTTTCGTTCCTCTTCTAATTCTCGAGATTGTTGAGCTTCAATTTAGTCTTCAGTTCGTTCAGTCTTGCGATACATTACGACAGGAATTTTCATTTTAATAACGATGTAATAAGCATAATAATACGCGTGAAAGCGTGGATTGCGCAAGCGCGCGTAGGGTGTGTATGTTGAATGTCAGAGGGTTGCGTATACGTGGGTCGTGCACACATCAGGGTAATCATCTGCGCTTTTTCGCGATGTGAGCTTCATGATTGACGGCTAATGAGAATGTGGGGCGGCAAATAACGCGCGTCTCCCTGTCATGGTTCATCATTCATTACAAAAAATAATCATACATTGTGTAGCGATTGATTTTCAGGATATTTTTTTGCTTTTTTCCTGTCGTTTCTTACATGACGACTAACGTTACATCATATGATGACACGGAAAAACGAGAGAATATTCGCATTGTTATTTAGACAATATATTTCAAT